ACCGCCTCCACTGCGCATGCGCGGGCCCCGTGGGTGCAGTACCGCGCTTCGCCCGCAGGCGGCRCCAGCGCCGCCCCCGCCGCACCGCGAACACGGGGGGAATTTGGGGCGAAAAAGGGAAAACCGCACCAGGAAAAACCATAAATAAATAAATAGGCTTCCTGCTAGTGCTCCTCCAGTCATTCGTACAGAGAAGTCCGCAATTTTCCCAAGGAGCTGCTGGAAAAATGAAAAAAAAAAAACAAACCCTTCTCGTTTTTTGAGCGCTCCCAGTTCTGTCTCAGCACCTGAGGAATAAATACGTCTTCCCCATGTCTCAGGAAGAGCTTTTCTAGGTGGAASCACTAGGAATAAGAGCTGGGCTTTGTCTCGCCTCGCTGTGCTTCAGATGTGGAGATAAAAGATAAATTCAGGCTCCATCTCACGTCTCGCCAGGGAGARATCAGCAGCTCCTAAAATCCCACTTTGTGACAGATAAAGTAAATAAACATCGATTTTTCTCCTGGATAACATTAATCATGGCCTGACAGAGTTACACCAGAGAGTAAACCAAGAKTAGGCACCGCAGGCTCCTGACAAAGGGATCCAAACCTAAAAATCATCATTATTGGATCAGCCTTGGCTGAAGGGCTGAGTTTCATCCCCAGAACCCAACATCCCTTTCAGACGTCCCAGGAGCGACGTGTCTGCTCTTGTGGTGCCGTAATGAGGATTTAGAGCTGCTTTTCATCACCCACGAGGAGATGCCGGAGGGGAAGTGGCGGTTGGGACATTGGGACGGCGCTGGAGATGTCACAGATAATGAAAATCGAGCGGTTTGGGCGCYGAGTCCTCCCCGGGGGCAGCATCCACCTGCCCACATCTGGAAATCTGCCCCTGTCAGAGAACTGACCTCCAGTTCTTGATTAATCCAAGTTCAGACTCGCTTTTTCTTATTCAACAAACCATCTTTGCTTGGTGTGAGGGATCCGAGACGTAGAATGGAAATAAATTCCATTATAAAGGGAAACACAGAATACTGGAAATCAGCTCCTGAAGAGGAGACCTGCACTGGTAAATAAGCACAATTAGTTAAATAAACTCAATTAACTTTCAGAAAGTTAAATATATAAACTTGAGGATTTATTTCCTAATTCTTTATACATATATAATATATATATATATGATTTTATACACTAATATAAAGATAATTATATATTTATGTTATTATTTTACAGTATTACTATTTAATAATAATATATTATATATTCTTATTAAATATTATATCTTATATAATTATCTATAAATAATTGTAATATAWATTTTTAATATATAAAGAAAATGTTCATACATCCTTTATATATAAAAAGCATTTTTTCTTAGAAATACACATTTATGTATCTACAAATTGATCTCTTGGAATATATAATTGATSTCTTGGTATCAGAGGGAATTTAAAAGAACTCATGTAGGAAATTAAGATTTGGGGATTAWGGGAGAGCCCAGGATTTGGAGAAGTGTTGCAGCTGCTAACTGGGATGAAGGGAAAACCCTTCAGGAACTCTCAKGCTGCAAATTATTTTTACATTTCCTGGTGATAATCATGAGCTGAATTTAAGCCTTTRAGGCTCAAACTGACCYTTCAGCCTGTGGYTGGAGCATGYCTGCTCTGGATAAATCCCACATTTYCCACATGACCCTTCACCAGCAGGCAGCAAGTGGAGAAACCCATGCCATTTTTCCATTTTAAAATGTTTMGAATGGACCAGATGAGTCAAAGCCCCCAAACACATCATCATCTCCATCAGGGGAAGCTGTGGATTCATCCAAAGCCTGCGAGGAGCGAGGATGAGTCCCAGGCTGAGGTGACTCAAGTCCTGAATCCTGGGAACAAGAATAATCAGAAAACTGCAGCTGGGATGGAAAAGCAGCCTGGCCTGGATGGAAAGAGACACAAACTGGAGAGGAGATCGTGGGGTGGGTCTGGAGTTCTGGAGGCATCGAACGAGTCGGGTGCTCTGAATACAATAAACAGAATTACGGAATCTCGGAGCAGGTTGGGTCGTAAGGGATCCTAAATCTGATCTTACTCCAACCCCGTGCCACAGTCAGGGACACCTTCCACTACCCCAGGCTGCTCCAAGCCCCATCCAGCCTGGCCTTGGACACTGCCAGGGTCAGAGGAGTTGTAAATGCCCTGTCCCTGGAAAGGACATTTCACGGGGCGGGGAGGGAGATGTTCTTATTTAGGGACAAATAAACACAATAACATCATGCCTTAATTTGCCTTCTTAATTAGTGCTGCATTACATTGACAACAGACACCGGTGAGGTGATTTCCAACCAATTTGGATCAATTAAAACGAGACCAGCATCCCTGATTGCGTGTGGCTTCAAGGGAAAACCACCTCCTCCTAATCTGATTTATTACTGTCCCCATCCAGCGAAAAATTGTCTCAAAACCACTTAAAATTTTCCCCTCTAGTTAATGGCAGCTTGAGCCAAGATACTCACAGGTCCTTGGGCTGAAGTCCACGAGCTCCATCGGTCTTGCTGAAACCAGGAAGCATTTCCCGTTCCATTCTTTAATGTGGCTGGGAGATTTTAAGTTTTACACCTTCCCCATGTGAGCAGTGGCCAAAGGGTCTCTGGGGCACCTGGAAACAGAATGAGCCTTCCCCCAAGGCCCTGGGATACATCCCGAGGTTTCTGTCTGGGATTTTAGGGATGGGATTCCCACAGGCTGCAGGGCTGGAGCGATGCTCCTCGTGTACACAACCGTGTCAGGAATGAAATAAAATCAAAGGGGTTTGGTGAAGACTTGAATTTGAAGGGCTTTTGAAATTATTCTCTATTTCTGTATTATCTTTTAATTATGTATAATTGTATTTTTATATATTATATTATTATTTTTATATATTATATTATTTTATATTTTATCTATGATTTATTATATGTGGGAGGGGAAAGAAACATTCAGTAGTGGACCTATTTAAGGAAATTATTTCATATTTGAAATTATCAATTTTCTTTCATATTACACAGTCTGTAGGGCAGATCCCAGAGCCTGGAATTGTTGGGATTGGAAAGGAAATTCAAGATCATCCAGTCCCACCTCCTGCCATGGGCAGGGACACTTTTAACTAGACCAGGGTGCTCCAAGCCCCGGACACTCCCAGGGTATAACTTCACCTGCTAAAATTTCCTTTCTCTTTTCTCAATCAAGGTTTCAAAAAAAAAAAAAAAATTAAAAATTTGTAGATTAAATAAATAAAGAGGCAACTGCTGGTTGTGTTGCCCTCTCTGACCTAACAAATACATGCCATTCTGATTGAGAAATGAGTGTTGCTGCTTCCTGCCTTCTCACTTCCTTCTTGCCCTGTTCACTGTTCCCTGCAGAACGGGGTCGATTCCTCTCCTCCCCTCACTGTCCCCCAAGCAGCTTTTAGTTCCCCATTCCAGCTGAGTCAGGGGCTCATTGCAGGGAGTCATTTGACCATCTGCCAAACCTTCTCCTGCTTCATCTTGGTGGCCACCACAACCTCCAGAGCTCACTCCAGCCTGCAATTATTCCCCATGAGAAAGACTCGCTGTTCCCCATTTTGAAGTTTTCCTGGTTCCCACCTGCCTGTTTGGGGCCAAAAAAAGTTCATTTTAAAAATGAAGCGCATTTTGTATCATGCGCTTCAAAAYGGGTTCAGGAGACCCACCTGCAGTGGTCTACACCGGCCAGGGTTGGGAAGGGTCTGAAAGCTCATCCAGGAGGAGGCCCAGGAGCTGCAGCAGAGCCTTGGCAAGTGTGACCCTGCCCGGGGCTGAGCCCCCTCCATCCTCCCGCCCCTGCCAGCTCTGCCTCTCACACCTCCTCATCTGCAGCTCGACAGCAGCCCCGCGGCCACGGCCCCGCTGACAGCGGGAGATGGATGGGGCTGTGCTGGCTCCACGGGGCGGGGACACGTCACAGGGATTTGGGGGGAACATGGGGAGCTGATTCCTCCCAGCTTCACACCAGCCCTGGCCCCAAATGCTGGAGCTGCCCCCTTGCCCACCCCGCAGCACCAGGGGTCCCCTCCRTGCTACAATGGATTCCTGCAGGAACCCAAGGCAAGGCAGAAGGCTGAGTCCCAGCTGGGAGAAAATGCCCAGCTCTGTGTGGAGSAGGGAGTTCAGACCAGTGCCACTGCCACCGGGGCACCAACAGGGACAGAAAGCCACCAGCACCCCAAAAAGGACATCCCCTGGTCCTCCAGAGCCTTCCCAGAGCCTCAGCATCCCGGAATACACTCTGTGGTGGGCTATGAGACAGTTTGGAGGGGAATGGGGGGCTCTGGAGCAACCCCCCTGCTTTTTCCCCGTAACGCCCCACCCCGGTGTCCATCACCTCCCACAAATATCCCTCAGCCCCACGGCGCCAGCTCATCCCCATCCATCTCCCGCTGTCACCACAATGAGGGGGCGTGGGGGGGTCCCCGGCACCAGGGCAGAGACAGGAGCCACTTTGGGGTGGGTTATGGGGAGGGGGCAGCTCGTTCCTCCTCCCGGAGCCTGCGGCAGAGCGGCGGCTCCTCGCCCCAACACCTCGCCGTGATTTTCAATATCAGCCACGCACCGAGGGGGGCTTTGCCTGGGGGAGCCCCCAGCTCCCCCCGCTTGGATTGTGACAAAAAAGGGACAAGGAGACCCCAGGAAAGACGTCCCCACCCAGCCTGGGGCATCCCAAGCCCAGCCTGGGGACCAGCGGTGGTCCCAGCAGTGCCAGCGCTCGCCTCCCGTCCATCATCACCGCATCAAGGTGTGAAGGCAGGCCGGGGAAGGGGGCTGTGCTCCAGCCCCCGCCTCCCCACCCCCGAGCTGGGCCATAAAACCCCCAGCAGACTGCGGGGACRCTGCGGAGCCAGCGCTGTGCCGCGAGGGGTGCCACTGCCACCATGCCGGGGGACGGAGCCACGGACACCTCCTGCCCTGCCATGGCAGGTAAAACCCAGCCAGGACAACGCTCCCCGCACCCAGCACTGGGGTCCTGCTGCCTTTTGGGGTGTGGTGGGGACATGGATGAAACCCCAGTGTGGTGGGGGACGGGACATACCGATCCTGCCAGCACAGAGGGAGGGTGTGATGGGATGGCCGTGCACAGGGTCTGCTTCTCCAGACCGACACCCCTTCCTTCCCCCCTGCAGCCTTCCTGGGGGGCACCGAGGGGTCTCCGTGCTGGGCCGGCGGCAAGAACCAGCGCGTGTGCCACGCTGCAGCACGGCTGGAGATGGGCAGCCTCTGGGAAGAGTTCAACCGTCTGGGCACCGAGATGATCGTCACCAAGGCGGGCAGGTGGGCACCGYGGTGGCCCGGGGAGCTGCCGGGCTGGGGGCACCCCCTTCCTACCCTCCCCTCCGTGCAGGAGGATGTTCCCCACCTTTCAGGTGAAGCTGTCGGGGCTGGATCCGTCAGCCGACTACGTCCTGCTCATGGATTTCATCCCGCTGGACGACAAGAGATACAGGTGGGGAGGGGGTGATGGGGGCAGGGGTTGGATCTGGGGGTGCTGATCCCCTCCCCGCCCCGCAGATACGCTTTCCACAGCTCCTCCTGGCTGGCGGCTGGCCGGGCTGAGCCRGCGGCTCCCGGCCGCGTCCACTTCCACCCCGACTCGCCGGCCAAGGGCGCGCAGTGGATGCGGCAGATCGTGTCCTTCGACAAGCTCAAGCTGACCAACAACCTCCTGGACGACAACGGCCACGTGAGTCCGCGGGGCGGGGGGACGCGGCGCGACCCTGCCTTGGGGGGTCCCACCACCTCGCGCTTGCCACCCCCAGATCATCCTCAACTCCATGCACCGCTACCAGCCCCGCTTCCACGTGGTCTTCGTGGACCCGCGGCGTGACAGCGAGCGCTTCGCCCACCAGAACTTCAAGTCCTTCAGCTTCCCCGAGACCCAGTTCATGGCAGTCACAGCCTACCAGAACCACCGGGTGAGTGCTGGCCGGGGGGACATCAGGACATCCCCCGGGACCTTCCTTACTCCGCTCCCCTCCGCAGATCACCCAGCTGAAGATCGCCAGCAACCCATTCGCCAAGGGATTTCGGGATGGCGACCCTGAGCTGTGGTAAGAGACCCCCGGGAGCCACCCCCGCTCTGTGGGGAGGAGGCCGAGCCGCCCCCTGAGCCCCCGTCCCCTCCGTTGTAGGTTTGGGGCGCCGCCCGGGTCCCTGCTGGGCACGAAGCCCCGCGGCCGGGCAGCCCCACTGCCCCCGAGCCCCGAGAAGCAGGAGAAAGGTAGGGGGGCTGAAGGGGGGGCTGAGCCCCTGCTGCTGCCCGTGTCCCCTGCGGGTGCTCCACGCGGCTCTGGGGCTCTGGTGGCCGCCCCCCAGCAGCCAGCGGCACCCCCCAGCTTCCCCGAGCTCCCCGCGCCCGCCTTCCAGCCCCTTGCCTGCCCCCCTGCCGTCTATGTGGGGGCCAAACCCCACACCCTGCCCTACCCCCTGCCCCCCTTCCCCTCACTCAGCCCCTACGGCCCCGCTGCAGCCCCCACCTTTGGCTACGGCCAGCAGTGAGGGGACACCCCGAGCCCCCCGGCACCTCCTACCCGAAGGATGGCAACGCAGAGCTGGGGGGAGCCAAAGGRACGGCTTTATTCACCGGGAGGAGACTCCGTGGGGCCCGAGGGGGGGAATTTGGGGCACGGCTGTGGCTCCAAACCCCCGGCATCCCCACGGCACGGCTATTCCCAGGGGTCCGGGGCGAAGGCGAAGGGGCACAGCTTGTACCCGGCACCCACGTAGAACTTATTCTGGAACTCCACCCTGGYGAGGAGAGGGGGGTGAGGGGCGCTTTGGGGCAGTCCATCAGCCCCCCCAGACCCCACCAGCGACCCGTCAGCTTTGRGGGCTCACCAGTGCAGGCGCAGGGCGTGCAGGAAGGCGGAGAGMCCCTCCATCACCAGCAGGATAGCCACGGTGAGCACGGCGAAGGCGGCGAACACAGGCACAAGCACCACGCCGCCCACGTAGCTCAGCCCCACAAAGCCATTGCGCATCACCATGGTCCACAGCACCTCCGAGAGCTCTGGGGATGGGAGGGAGAGGGGAGTGAAGGTCTGCCCAGCTCTGGGGGGGACACGGGGGGGGGCCAAGGGGACTCACGGGCGTGCGCCAGGCTGAGCGCCCAGAGCCGCAGGTAGGACGCGGTGTTGGACACGCAGCCCAGGCAGTACTCRATGGTGTGGATCGCCTGGTGCATGAAGATTTCAGCAAAGTCCAAGTGCTGCGRGGAGGGGCAGGGCATGGGACATCAGCAGAGGGCACAGACACCCCCACCCCACCAGCCAAGCACGCCTGTGTGCCCCTCACTCACCTGGGCATCGGAGCCATGCCCCGCACTCTCCACATCCTCCTTGGTGGCATTGACAGAGTTCCCGGCCTCCTGCCCCTCCAGTAGTGGCTCGTGCTCTCTCGTGGCCACCGGCTGCATCGGGACAGCACCAGGGGTGAGACCTCCCCATGACCCCCACGGAGCCCCCCATGGAGCCCCCCACAGCCCCCCACCTTACCGTGCTCGGGGCGCGCTGCCGGCACCACCGGTACAGCGGCGTCCCCAAGAGCAGGACGGGCACCGACGCCAGCGCCAGCACCACCAGCACCATCTGCACCGGCACCTGCAGCATGGGGACAGCTCTGTGGGGTCAGCTCGATCCAGGGAGCAGCCCCGCTCCTGACACCCGCTGTCCCAGCCAGGGTGGGGTGGTACCTGCCCCGGGTAGAGCGGGAGGTTCTCGGCGTTGGAGGTGAAGAGGAACATGTCGATGAAGTGGATGAGGATGCTGGGGGCCACCCGGGAGTCAGCGGCACCGAACTTGATCCACTTGTAGAAGATGAGGAAGACCAGGTAGCCAAAGAGAGCCAGGAGAAAAATCACCTCCGGGAGGAACTCCAGGAGCAGCCGGTGCCGCTGCTTGAAGTGCCTGGGAGGGAGGAAATCAACCATGCTCGGCCTATCCCTCCTCAGCACCCACCGAGGTTTAGGGGTACAAGACCCAGCTGCCACCCCACCCCCCAGGTGAGTCCAATCCCAYCCCCCTCTAGCACAGCCTGAGCGCTCACAGGTGGTTGAAGATGCCCAGCACAACACCGAAGCCCATGTGCACGATACCCAGCACCACCGACATCTTCATCTTGAAGGAGTTGAGGAAGTTGAGGTGGTTGGTGGCCAAGCTCCAGATCTGTCGGGAACGAGGTGGGTGAGACTCTGTGCCACAGCAAAGAGGGTTCCATTTTGCTGTCGCCCCCACTGCACACTCACCGGGTCTATCCCAAATGGATACGGCCCTCGGAAGACGCCGGTGACGTTGGGGTCCAGGGTGAGGGAAGGGTGGGTGGCAAGGTACTCAGAGCTGGGGGCAGAGCRAGGGATGTCAGCTCCAGCAGGGACACAGGGACCCGGGTAGGGGGCAAAGGGGTGGGACCTCACCTCCAGGAGGAGTGGTTGGCCATGGTAGCCACGCTCCAGGCGGACGGGAAGATGACGGTGGCCTTGCTGAAGCACTCGTTGTAGATGAAGCCGGTGTAGACGGAAAAGGCGCCCATGAGCAGGATGAGGTAGCGCCCCTCRAAGAACGTCAGCCAGATCTGGGGGGCAAGCACAGCTCCCGTGTCCCACAGCGGCTCCCGTGTCCCACAGCAGCTCCCCTGTTCCACACCACCTCCCCTGCCCCACACCACCAGCCTTGACCCATATCATCCTTGTCCAGAGCCGCCATCCCCAGCCTGCATCATCAAACCCCATCCCACATCCMCAACCGTGCCCCACATCCCCAACCTCATTCCGTGCCCCCAGCCCCATCCCATGTCCAGCCCTGTGCCCAGCCCTCCATCCTGCCCCCACCTCGTTGGTGCCCTGCCGCAGGCGGGGGCTGTCCTCGTACAGCACCATCCAGAGTGCGAACAGGAGCATGAGCAGCCCGTGCCCCACGTCCCCGAACATGATGGCGAAGATGAAGGGGAAGGTGATGATGGCGTAGGGCGCTGCGCGACATGGGGACAGCGTCACACGGGGTGTCCCCCCTCGGCCCCGGGCCTCAGGGTGGGCCAGAGKGCCTTACCGGGATTCACCTCCTGGTAACTAGCCACCCCGTAGGCGTCCATGATGCTCTGGAAGCCGGCAGTGAACTTGTTGGTGCGGATGAGGGTAGGGGGGCTCTCCGAGGTRGGGACGCGCTGCACGAAGCACTCCACGCTGGAGCCGCTCTGGTACTGTGGAGACAGCACCCGGAGCCTGATCCTGCCTGGCACGGGGAGCCTGACCCCGGCACCCACCCCACAAAACCCCCTTCCAGCTCCCAGCCCCCCTGCCCAGCACCTGGAGTCTGCTCCAGGCACCCACCCCACAATCCCCGCCCTGACTCATACCCCACCGTGACGAGGGGACATGGGGACACCAAGAGACCTCTGGCATGAGGACAYGGAGACACTGAGCAACCCCAGAACAAGGAGACAGAGACACTGAGCACCTCCTCGTGTGAAGACACGGGGACACCGAGCACACCCAGGACAAGGACAGCGAGCCACTCACGGATCCCTGGCGCAGGGCGTCCTGCACTTGGGTGAGGTCCCGCACAGGACACCAGACCTCAGCGATGAGGCACTTCTCGGTGACATCGAAGCTGCACTGGTTGAGGATGAGGTAGATGGCCTTCATCTTCTGCACCTGCACACGCCAGGTGGGCAGCGCCAGCGCCACCTTGTCCAGCACCTGCGCCAGGTACTGCTCCGTCTCCTCCAGCACCTGCAGGCGCCCTGGTCAGGGATGGTGGCCCCAGCGTGGCCCCCAGGTCCCCTCATGGCATACAGCTCACCACGCTGAGGTCCTGGATCTGGCTGTGAAGGYTGGTCATGGTGTCTGTCCTGCTGGCGTCACTCTCCGGGTATGGATACACCTGGCAGTGGAAGCTGGGACACRGGGACATCGCTGTGTCAGGGGGTGCCAGGGTGGTGATCCCAGCCCGGCCCCGCAGAGGGGTGCAGAGTGGGTTTTATGAATAAAGCTCCGCCTGGGCAGGCGCACAGCAGCTCACCAGTCCGAGATCTTGCGGATCTTCTGCCCAATCTGCTCGCCCCAGTAGGAGATGAGGAAGATGACCCAGGTGATGYTCTCACCCTGGGGACAGCACAGCCCGTGTCACCCCAGTGTCCCRGCCCCCCCAGCCATGCCGGCGCCCCCGGGTGCTGCCTCACCGTGGCCGGGTCCTCCATGGGCTCAGGCATCTCCACGAAGGAGGCCACGAGGTAGCCGCGGCAGGCGCGCCACAGCAGCCGCTCGAAGGCGGTCACTCGCCACGGGTGGATGACACCAGCCACGAAGCTGCAGAGACACGGGATGGGCAAACCGTCCCACAGCTGCACCGCTGCCCCACAGGTCATCTCCAAACTTTATCCCACAGCTTCCCGGCTGCCCCATGGACACCCCCCGCGCCACACCCCAGCCCCTCTCACTTTATCTTGCGCTCGAGGTGCTGGTGCAAGGAGGGGTCGAGGATGGGCTCACGGTCCGAGAGTGCCCGTGGCCGCGGTGGGGAGCCCAGGGGAGCCTGCGGCGATGTGGAGCAGAGGGATGAGCGCGGGGGAAACTGAGGCAGCAAGCAGCACCCCCGGGTCACTGGGGACACCCAGACGCACCGGCAGGCTGGTGAAGCGCTGTCCCTCGCGCAGCACATGCAGGTACTGGCGCAGGTCCCGCAGGCGGCCGCGCAGCGACGCGCGGTTCCGAGTGACCTCCCGCAGCTCCTGCGCCAGCTGCTCCGACTGCTCCTGCACCCGCAGCGCCTCCCGAGCCACCGGAGCCCGCGGGCTCTCGGGACACGGCCCCGGCACCCGCCCCGCAACCCGCAGCTCCTGCTGCAGGAACGCTGGACAAGGTGGGGGACGCGGTCAGACTGAGGGGCCGAGAGGGGCGTCCCCCCAACAAGCACCCCCAAGGTCAGCCCCGCGCCCCCCGGCACTCACTGAAGGTTTTCTCCATCTCCTCGCAGCGCCGCACCTCGCCCACGAAGCGCCGCTGGAAGGGACTCACTTTGGGGTTCAACTGCGGGGGTACAGTCAAGGCATGGCCTCACAGGATTAGGGGGTTCGGCACCCCGGAGGAACAGGCAGCCAGAAACAACCAAATCCTCCTTGACCAACTTCCCTGTTCACAGGGCACCTTAAAACATCCACCCCAAACCACCTGTGCAAAGAGCACCTTAAACCACCCCAGCGCACCCAGGCCCACCCAGCTGGACCCCCTGCACCCCAAAACGCGCCCCCAGCCCGCACTCACGTCTCTGAACTCCAGCAGCCCGCGTTCGCCCAGCTCGCTGATGCAGCTGTAGGCAGAAGCCGACTGGAGGAAGAGCTGGGCCAAGCAAACCTCCTCGCTGCGGAACAGGGACCCCATGGCCCCCTGAGACCCCCAGTCCGGCCCGGGGTGCGGAGGAGTCAGTGCACACGCCTGGGGACGGGATGGGATGGAATACGGGAATTTGGATGGAATACGGGAATTGGGATGGGATGGGATGGGATGGGATGGGAAGGGGAAACTGAGAGAAAGGAGGGTGAGGGATGGAAAGGGGGACAGCAGGACAGGGGGTCACCCCGGGGTCTCGGCGGCTACGGCGACGGAACCGGGGGGGTCCCTGAGCCGTAACCGTAGGGAACCGGCCCGCTCGGTCACACGCGGCTGTGCCCAGCWGCGGGCTGGCAAAGTACTTTCGAAACCCCCCCTTCCCCCTCCAACCCCGCCCCACTCAGCTGCCTCTGAGTCAGGGCCAGCGCATCCCCCGCCCCGGGACAGCCCCGAGACCGTCCCCCGGGCCGGACCCGCTCCGGACCCGCTCCGGACCCACCGCCCGTGCTGCCCCCGGCGCGGAGCGGGGCCGGGATCCGGCACTTCCTCTTTGCCAGGAAGAGCCCGGCCCCGGGGAGGGACCGACCGGCCCGGCCCCACCGCCCCCCGGGAGCCCCGYTCCCCGGGATGTACCGCACCCCGCTCCGCCTGGGCAGCGGCCCCTCGGACACGGGACCCCTCGCAACATTCCCCGAGGAGAATGGGAATGGGAAGCGTTTCCTGGAGCCGAGCGGAGCCGGGAAGCCGCGCACCAGTATCACTCCAGGACCCCCCCACTGGTGTGAAAGCGGACTGTTAGCGAGTAATGACCCAAAACAATCGGCCATTTGTGCAGGAGCCAGACTGCCATCCCCGGAGAGAAGAGGTTTGGGGTGCTGTTGCCCCAATAACGAAGGGGGTGGGCTATCACTGCCTGAACCCTGCAGGGCGCGATGGCCCTTCTTGTCATGCTAATGTTCCTGCCTTGCACAACTCGCTCTGCTCTAAAACTCCCCCTCCGGCATTGCCGGCTGAACTGCGCTGCCGGGAGAGGCCGCTGCATGCGGCTCACAGGATCACAGACCATCAAAGACCTACCCCTCCAAGCCTCCCAGATTCATTTCCGAGGCCTTCCATCAACGGGCTGAAATATGGGCCTTCCCCCTGAGCCTGATCGCGTTTTTGCCYGTTGGACTTTGTGTTTTGTGGGCTTCTTCCCCCACCCCTGACAGATCAAGACCATCACTCAGACCACGGGATGACTAAACTGCAACAACCAAGTCACAAGATCTGCCAGCGGTGAGACTGTTTTTAACCTTATCTTTTTGCTCTTTTTTCTTTCTCTTCTCCCTTACATATTTTGTAAAGTAACATTTTTATGCTTTCATATTGCTCTATCACTGTAGATAATAACGCAAAGGTTACAATGCATTACCCTGCAACCCAATTGTTCTAAAATAAACCCTACACATACATATTTACGAATACCCAACATTGAGTCGTTTCACTCTTATCAGCCCCTGGGTTACTCTCACCTTTGTGGGGCAAGTCCTAACAATTGATAGCACTGGGATCTTCCTGCTGAGATCACAGGGACCCCCACACTGGAAACACTRGGAGACCCCTGCCAGATGCACCAGGATCCCCACACCAGTAGCACAAGAGGCTCCCCACTGGTACCATTGGGACCCCTGCTGGGATGACCCAGATCCCTAAGCATCACTGGGACCCTCACACCAGCACCACTGAGAACTCCCCTGCCAGGATCACCAGGCCCATCCCCACCCTGGCTGCCCCCAGAAGTGGAAATGACCCTCCCAGATCCCTAAATCCCACCAGCACTGACCCTCTATCCCTGCCTGCCCCCACTCCACATCCCACACCTTCCCCTGCAAACCACCTCCCATCCCAACGCCGGTGCCAGCACCCCCAGGACCCCCATCCCCCTCCCCAAAACACAACCACACACACAGGGGCTGGAAAAGGAAAGACACGAAGTTACGGGAAGGGACTGGCACCCCCAGTGCCAACGGGGGTTGAACCCACAGCTGCTTTATTTGGGGGACTGTCACCGGTACAGRTAATCGGCCTGGATGTTGGCCGCGATCTCAGCCTCCCACTTGTCGCCATTGTTGAGCAGCTTCTCCTTGTTGTAGAGCAGCTCCTCGTGCGTCTCCGTTGAGAACTCAAAGTTGGGACCCTGCCAAGTGTGGGATGGGGTCAGCCTTGAGGTCAGCCTTGGGGTCACCGTGGTGGAAAAAGGGGGTCCCCACAGCCCCACTCACCTCCACGATGGCGTCCACAGGACAGGCCTCCTGGCAGAACCCACAGTAGATGCACTTGGTCATGTCGATGTCGTAGCGGGTGGTGCGGCGGCTGCCATCGGCGCGCGGCTCGGCCTCGATGGTGATGGCCTGGTGGGGGACACGGTCACGGCCAAGGACCCAGGCAGGGAGGAGGAGGAGGAGGAGGAGGGGGAGGAAGGCTCACCTGCGCCGGGCACACGGCCTCGCAGAGCTTGCAGGCGATGCAGCGCTCCTCCCCGGACGGGTACCGGCGCAGCGCGTGCTCCCCGCGGAACCGCGGGCTCAGCGGGCCCTTCTCAAACGGGTAATTGATGGTGGCCGGCTCCCGGAACAGATAGCTCAGGGTCATGGCCAGGCCTGCCGGGGGAAAGAGGGGCTAGGGCGTATTTGGGAGGGTCAYCCCACAAATGAGGAGGGCGAGCGGGGTCTCACCTCGGACGAGCTCTGTCCAGAGCAGGGTCTGGGCAGCGCGGTCGGTGATGGATCGCATGTCCATGGCCGGCTCCTGGACATTGACGTACTCTGTGGGAAGAAGGAAGCTGTGCCCACCCCACATGGCCCCGGGGAGGGAGCTGAGCCCCCACGGGAGCTGTGCCCACCCCGCAGAGCCCCTGTGAGGGAGCTGAGCCCCCACGGGAGCTGTGCCCACCCCCGCAGACCCCTGTGAGGGAGCTGAGCCCCCACGGGAGCTGTGCCCACCCTGCAGAGCCCCTGTGAGGGAGCTGAGCCCCCACGGGAGCTGTGCCCACCCCACATGGCCCCTGGGAGGGAGCTGAGTCCCCACGGGAGCTGTGCCCACCCCACAGAGCCCTTGGGAACAGATCTGAGCCCCCCACAGGGGGTGGCACGGCCATACTCACTGTAACAGTCTCTGGGGGTGCTGGTGCTGAGAGGGCGCAGGGAGCACAGCGAGGCCGGGGCGCCTGGGGAGCGACAGCAGGGTCAGCGGGGTTAAGCTGGGATTTGGGGGGGGTTCAGGGGATTTGGGGGTTCCTGGCTGGCCTCACCTGCATGGGCAGCCCGGTACAGCAGTCGCAGCGCTGCCATKGCCGGTCCTGGGGTGCAGAAGGAACCTCAATGACTACCAGTAAGGAACTGGGGCAATCAGGGCCCCCCGACTTCCCACGGAGGACCCTGGCACCCTGACCCCCTCCCCCTCCACTCAAAGAGACCTGGAACCCTCGGGACCCCAGTCCCCACAAGGGACCCCAATTGCTTCCCTCAAGGGACGCAGGCATCCTSTTTCCCCTGGCAACCCTCTCAAGGGACCCAGGCAGCCTGTTGGCACCCTAGAAGGATTCTAGCTGKCCCCCAASGGACCCGGGCATCCTGCTCCCACSCGCTTCACCCCCMAGGGGCACCCAGGTGTCCTGTCCCCTCCCACCCCAAAGGACCCAGGTGCACCCCCAAGGGGCCCTGACACCAAGGAACCCACATGTCCCCTAAAAGCACCGCCCCAAGGCCCCTCCCCACCGTCCAGCGCCCACCTGAGCCCCCGGCGGGACAGACCCCTGCTGTCACCCTCAAAGTCCCCGCTCACCCTCTGCGTGTGTCCCTTTGGGAGGGGGGACGCAGGGTAGCACAGTGTCCAGGCCGCCCCTCCGCCCCAGGCGGGATCTGGGGGGCCACTACACGCCACCGTGGGTGACCCCAGCCCCGGGCCGCCCCCCGGGCCCCCCGATTGCCCCCAGGCCCCCCATTTTCCCCCTCACCTGCCCCAAGGGCCCTCCGCCGTCCTGACCCCTGGCCGCCCCCGCCAGCACTGCGCATGCGCGSGGGGCAGCGAGCTGTGGGCGGGGCGAGCGGCTGCAGGCGCGTTTCTCATTGGTCAGTCTGGCAGCGGGCGGGGAGCTGGGAAGGAGCAGTTGATTGGACGGAGCCGGCCGTGCTGAGCGGCGATTGGTGAGGAGAAGGGGCGTGGCCAACGGGCAAGAGGAAGCGGAAGCGCGTGTTCGTGGAGGAGGCGCGTGGTTACGGTGGCGGCGCGGAGCTTTCCGCTCTTCCAGAGCCCCCCGGTTCTCTGGGGCTTCCCGAGCCTCCGGAGSCTTCCAGCCGATTCCTGGAGCAGATCGGACTGGAAGGTCTCGAAGCTGGAGCGGCCCATACGCTTGGACTCGCTAAAAAGCCCGGCACCGCCACTGGCAGGCTCAGCGTTGGCCCCGAGCCTCAGTACAGTCCCTGTAGGCGGGCATCAGGGACTTGCGTTTCATTTTCCCTATTAAACTGTCCTTATCTCAGCCCTGTTGCCCAGTTCTCTCCTTTCATCCCACCCSGGGGGACTCCTGTTGGATTCAGCCACGGCCACCCACAGCCCAGCAGGAATGGGTATCCTTTTACCTGTGCAACCAGCCCCTCAAAATGGAGCAGCATGGAGTGAAGGAAACTAGGATCATGGGCAAGGATAAATGGGAATGTGGGACAAAGGACACTGATAATGGGGCAAGGGAAACTTAGGATCATGAAGCAGGAGAAACTGGAAACATGGGGCAAAGGACACTGAGATCATAGGGCAAAGGAAACTGGGATCATCCCAGATCAATGATTTAGGATCAGGGAGTTGCCAYGGACTGTCTCAGAGCAGAGTCCTCAATGCGGGGGACACAGGAGATCCCTCTGCTGTGGTGGTACCAATGGAAATAGAGCCCCAAAGCACCAGAAAGGGGGGATGAGGGACTTTTGCAGTGTGCAGGGAGGTGAAAGGGAAGGACACAGGACATGGGGAAACACCTTTCATTGCACGTGGGCACTGGAACCAGCAGCAGGCAATGTGCAGAAAGGGGAGACTCAGAGAGGAATGTGGGGACCCTCAGAGCAGGGTGCAGTCGTTCTTACCTGACACTTTGGAAGTGGCCTGGACAAGCCCAAATTTCTGCTGGCTGTAGCACTGGGGGGTAGCACGGGGCATTGAGGGGCTCCTGGCCCATCCTGTKCTTCAGGCACGCGCAGCAGTGCGRGAAGGTGTCGAAGCTGAACTTCCCMTGGTACATTCCCAAGCCTCTGTTCCCTGGAATACACACACAGGACGCCGGTGGATGACTGGATCTGGCCATCCTTTGGATCAAAGAAAGCAAAATTAAGCTCCCAGCTCCATAAAACCACAACTCCATCCAGCTGCTTTCCAAGCCATGGATGAGCTTCCCAGGAATGTGACCYAGTRCACAGCCCAAGTGGATGTTTGGAGTGGGAAGATCAGCCTGGGAGGCAGAAAGCTTCCCAAAAACGCTATCATCAACGGACTTCACTGTTTCAGGTAACATATTTAGCAACCAGAAGGGTGTCATTGATGAGGCAGTGGCAGCAGCAAGATGCTCCCACCAGATAAGCYTCAGCACCACAGGAATACCCTCCAAAACCCATCCTATCCGTGCTGGATCTAGCTCTGCTGCAGGCAAGACTCTGGGAGTGGAGAGGCACAATGACCAAGGTGGCTTTGGTGAGGTGGGACACAGCACCAAGGATGAATGTTGGGAGGTGGAAGCTGGCTGRCCAGGAACCAGCAGAGAAAAGCCAGGCAGGCTGGCAAAAAATAAGGAAACSCACATGTCATTTGATAACAGATGGGATAAAATTGCATGAGTCAGCCTGAGCCAGTCAGTCTTGCTGATAAAACACCARCCTTGGTTGGGGTGATAGGTTGGGTTTAGTACCTTGCACATCAGCAGCYCCAGGATAAAGGGAAGTCACTGCCACTTGCCACTGGCAGCTTAGTGGGAAGACAGGAAAACAGGTGGAAAGCAGGAATGTGAAACAYGAGCTGGCAGTGGAGACCRTCCCATCAAAAKAAGGCATCTCCATCATGGAAYCCCAGAATGGTTTGGGTTGGAAAGGACCTTAAAGATTATCCACTTCCAAMTTCCCTGATGTAAGCAGGGACAATTTCCACAAGACCAGCTTGCTTCAAGCCCTGATTCCCTGTTTTAAGCAAAACATTTCCATGGACCCAGGGAACACAGAGCTTGGGATRAGWAATACAGAGAGAAGGAACTTCAGGGCTCTCCACGGTGTCCAGCAAAGCCCAAGAGCCCAAGGTGAAGCAAAGGGTTTCTGGAAGAGAATTTCCCTATGGACCACTGAGCCCTCTGGAGCCGAGAGCTCCCCCCAGGACSCTTCCTGACCACGGGTGGGATCACACCTAGCTCCCAATRGCCAGGAKTGGGGATTTTGGACCTACCAAYGCCTCCAAAGGGCAGYRATGTCAGCATCAGGTGCATGAGGGTGTCATTGCCACAGAARCCACYGCTGCTTGTCTGCTCCAGGACCTGGTTCACCCCCTGTGAGGGAGCAGAGAAGGTGGGACGTAGATCCCCCACCCCATTCCCGTACTTCCAACCACAATCCATGCCCCCTAACTAGGGCTGTGTGCTCTGAGAGAAACGCTTGAAGCACAAACAAGGTTGGAAACGCCTGCAGAGAAGCACAGGGCTGGTGTAGTCCTGGCTGGGCTCTACCTTGTCATCAGAGGAGAAGGCGTAGATGGCCAAGGGCCGCTTGAGGCTGTTGATGAAGTCAATGGCTTCATCCGTGTTGGTGATGATGATGATGGGCAGGATGGGCCCAAAAATCTCCTCCTGCATGGCAGGGTCTGAGGGCAGCACATCAGCCAGCACCGTGGGAGCTGCGGAGGGGAAACCTGACAACATCAGCCAGGTACAGCGGTCGGGGATGACACCTTGGTCGGTCCCCCCCAGACGCACCTCCTCTTCAAATGGACACCAGCCAAGCACCCAGTTCCTGTCATAACCTTCTCCAAAACGCCAAATGTTCTCCGTGCAGAGAGGAAGGTGTGTGTGACCCCCAAGCCCTCACCGATGTAGCGCTCGGCCTCGTCCGTCTGTCCCCCGAGGGCCACACGTCCACTGCACAGCAGCGTCTGCACCCGGCTGGAACTGCTTGTCATTCACAATGTGGCCAAAATCCTGGGATTCTCAGGGGTTGGGGCCATAGAAATCATCAATGGCCACACAGAGAGCAGGGAGCAGCTTGTCCTGCATCTCCACGCTGCAGAGCAGGTAGTCGGGCGCGATGCAGGTCTGGCCCGCGTTGAAGAAGCGGCCCCACGCCACGCGCCGCGCCACGTTGGTCACATCGCAGGTGTCGGACACGTAGCAGGGGTTTTTGCCCCCCAGCTCCAGCGTCACCGGCGTCAGGTGCTTGGCAGCACAATCACAATCTGCCCCACTGGGGGGCTGTCTGCAGGCAGGGAAAACACGGATTGCAGCAGGGATCCCACCGGCCCTCCTGGCCTCACCCTGGGTGAGCTGTGGAAGAACAGCTCCCATCTCCATGGCCCCACAGGCACTGGGCAGGATGGTCACACCAGGACTGTCAACCACAACTTCCCTTTTCCCAGCGAACAGGGTGGCTGCCTGTTTCCTGTCCTGCCCTTTGGCCACCTGCCCCGCCACACGTCACCGCTGGCTCCATTCCAGCTAAAACCACTCGGGATGGGAAGCACCCCCCAGCCCTCCCAGAACCCCCCAAACCAGACGACGGAGTCACAAAGGGAGGCTGGGAGAAAGCTTAATGCAAGGTCTTTACTACAGGCAGAGTTTCACGGAGCAAAGAGCAACAGCGAGGAGGGAGAGAGGTTCATTCCAAAGGAAAGCTCTGTGTGAGGGGAGATGGGGCTGATGGGAGTGCTTCTCCACCGGAAAGAGAAGTCTGGAGTGAGAAAAACAGTTTTTGGTCATTCCAGCCGTGTCCTGGAAAATGGCGCAGAGCAGAGGTCACAAGGGTGTGGGAGGGGATGTCCATCCCAACTGTCCAACATGCTCCAAGCGAGGCAAAGGATGCAGTGAGGAACTGGGGACGGTGATGCAGAGGGAGAGGGGGACAGTCTCAGATTTTCATTCCAGCTCCGTGCACGGCAACCCTCGGAACAGGAGGTGGGTGGCTCAGAGCAGTGTGCAGGTGCCCCTGCGCTTCACCTCGAAGGTGGTTGTGAGGAGCCCCAGTTTCTGCTGGGTGTASGGGGGGTAGCGCGGGGTGTTGAGCGTCTCCAGCCCCATGTTCCGGTGCAGGCAGCCCCGGTGGTGGGAGAAGGTGTCAAAGGTGAACTTCCCGTGGTATTTTCCCAGGCCACTGTTCCCTGGAACACACAGGACAGATCCATGCTCAGGATGGGACTCTGCTCCTCATGATGCCTTCTCCAAGCATCAACATGAGGGGAAAAAACACCCACAAGATTTTTGGAGCAGCATAGACATGGTGGAGGAATTCCACCTTTTCCAGTGCCTCTTCCAGGTATATGGATGCTCATTCCAGCCAATCCTGCTGCAGCTCAGCAGTTTGGAGGCCCCAGTGGTTTTTTTTAACCCACCTCCATTTATCTACACAAGCTTTGCTGGGTTCTACAAGTCTTTATTTCCCTCCATGACACTCCACCATATCTCCCCACAGCTGGAGCTGTCCCATCTTCTTCCCGGAACTCTAAAAACCTRGAGCCACATTAGCAACACCAGTTCTCCCAGTTCCTGTGGCTGGTTTAACCGGAGGTTAAGAGCCCAGTGACTTCCCAAGGAAGCTTTGGTGCCATCTCACCTCGATGACTTCAGCCCCTCCACCTGCTCTAAGGTAGCTTTACCTGATAATTGGAAGTGGTTGGTCTGAATCATTCCCAATTAAGATAAGTTAYGGAATGGGAAGTACCAAAAATTGTTCCCTGAGCCACAGGCAGGTGAGGAATTAATTGTCTGTGTGTTTCATTGTCTCTGACTCAGGTGCCAGGCCTGATGGAGATGCTGAGATGATGAAGGGATTTATCCCAGAAATACTTTGGGGAGAGATATTGGGAAGTATTCTGGGGAACAACATTCCTGTATTCCTGTATCCCTGGACCATGCTGCAACCATGGCCCAGGGCTCAGCGAGCTCACTTTTTACCTGAGAGCAAAAAATTGGTGCCTCTGGACACCAAAATCTTTTTCTTCTCCAAGAAGGATCTCCAAGATCCCATAAGAGATTCTCCAAGTATTCTTAAGTGTTTTGTTCCTACTATTTAGTCCTAAAAGTTGGAACGAAGGTACAGCCAGTCTCCTGAGGGACATTAAGGGATGCTGCCCAGAATGAAACTGGCTGCAGGAGGAAGCTCACCTGCCTCAGACCCTTCCTCACTGTGGCTCAGGTCACATATCACACCTAGCTCCCAATGGCCAGGATTGGGGATTTTGGACCTACCAATGCCTCCGAAGGGCAGTGATGACAATGTCAGGTGCATCAGGGTGTCATTGCCACAGAAGCCACCRCTGCTCGTCCGCTCCAGGACCTGGTTCACCACCTGGGAGGGAGCAGAGAAGGTAGATGGGGACTTGCACTTGGCAGACACCACCCATTTCACTCACTGGATGTTCCCAGAGTGTTTGGGCTCTAAAGACCATTCAGAGCATATCCTGGGGGTCACCGAGGTGGTGCCTGACTTCCCTCCCCTCTTTTTCTGCCCCACGGACACACCTTGCTGTCGCAGGAGAAGGCATAGACGACCAGTGGTCGCGGCCGTGCATTGATGAAGTCAATGGCTTCGTCCATGTTGGCAATGACAACGATGGGCAGGACGGGCCCRAAGATCTCCTCCTGCATGGCAGGGTCTGAGGGCAGCACATCAGCCAGCACCGTGGGAGCTGCGGAGGGGAAACCCAACAGCATCAGCYAGGYAYAGCGGTCRGGGATGAAACCTCCCCTCAAGACAYYTTTTTAAACACTCCTAAAACTCTTYTCCCTCTAGAGGCTCCCCACTKGATGAAGACCCCCTGCAAACCCCAAATGTTCTCCATGCAGAGAGGAAGGCGTGTGTGACCCCCAAGCCCTCACCGATGTAGCGCTCGGCCTCGTCTGTCTGTCCCCCGAGGGCCACACGTCCACTGCACAGCAGCGCCCGGATGCGCCGGAAATGCTTGTCATTCACAATGCGGCCAAAATCCGGGGATTCTTGGGGGTTGGGGCCAAAAAACTCGGTGATGGCCGCGCGCAGGGCRGGCATGAGCTTCTCCTGCATCTCCACGCTGCAGAGCAGGTAGTCGGGCGCGATGCAGGTCTGGCCCGCGTTGAAGAAGCGGCCCCACGCCACGCGCCGCGCCACRTTGGTCACATCGCAGGTGTCGGACACGTAGCAGGGGTTTTTGCCCCCCAGCTCCAGYGTCACCGGCGTCAGGTGCTTGGCAGCGGCCGTCATCACAATCCGCCCCACCGGAGGGCTGCCTGCGGGCAGGGAAAACACGGATTGTGGCAGAGATCCATCGCACRGCTCTGGGATGTGGCACTTGGTCCCACCAGACCTCAGCCACACATCCCAGATCCTCYAACACATCCAGGCAGGGCTCTGTCCTGTCCCACGGGACGTACCAGTGAAGAAGATGTAGTCAAACTTGTTCTCCAGCAGCCTGGTAGTCTCCTGCACGCCACCGGTCACCACAGCGAAGCAATCCTGCAAGGAAATGAGAAAGATCCCCTTGTGTCACCATCTGTCCCCACCAACAGCATCCTGGGAGGCTGGGACATTGACTGAGCATGAAAAGAGGAGGTTCCACATGTGGAYGGTGGGTGTGAGGCAGGGCTGGGAACACCATGGCCCAGGAACAAGGGACAAGGACAAGAAGAGCTTCTCACATTGTCCAGGTAACAGCTCAGCGTTTCGGCAACGAGTCTCTCTGTGTTCTTGGAGATCTCAGATGGTTTGATGATGGCACAGTTCCCTGGGGGTAGATGAACAGGACATCAGCACAGTGACAGGGTSATAGTCAGCCCTTCTGGGGATGACACCCCTGGGGAAACCCCAGCACTTGCAGGCCAGGGGACTGGAAGGTTGGKCTCACCAGCAGCGATGGCYCCAATGAGGGGCACCAGGAAGAGGTGGATGGGGTAGTTCCAGGGTGCTATGATGAGCACCACCCCRTAGGGGTCCTTGCGGATGAAGGCAGAGTCCAGCTGCATCACCTGCAAGGAATAACATGACTTCAGCACTGCCTTCCCCACCAGCTACRCCTCTCTCCCTCTTCCCTTTTCCCAGAGCTTCCTTCTCACCAGATTCTTGTCCACGTGCTCATCCTTCATCCAGTTGCACAGGTTGTTGAGGGTGACATTGAGCTCGTTCTTGCACAGSAGGATCTCGCTGAAGAAAGCCTCRAAGGATGGCTGGGGACAGACATCGGGRAARTGTCACCCCAACACCAACMCCATCACTGACCCTGTCACKCTAACACAGACCCCATCCCCCCAAYATCATCCCCACCACCCCAGGAGGCACCTCTCCCCTCTTCCAAACATGAATATTGGGAGAATCTCTTAAGCAGAAGTTTCCATCACCTCCTGTAACTCCCAGAGAATATCAGTGTCCCAGAAATGTTATGAAAATAGGTGTTTGGCCAGAAGGAAAAAAAAAAAAAAAAAAACAACAAAATTGAACATTTTAATGGTATTTAACAAATTCCTGAGTTCAGCACTGTGAGCTGGCAACACAGCCCTGAGCCAAGGAGACACCGAGTAATGTCACCAGAGCTCCTGAARAGCTGCTCCTGGTCCCAGAGGCAGCTCCACACTGCTCCTGTATCCTGACCACTCRGATATTCAAGCTGGAAGCAAAGCCCCAAGCTCCCTTCTACTGCCTGTGGGCAAAAGCTGCACTTAAGGCCTTGACTGAAGGGAAACAGTAAGAACCAAGGTTTAATTAAACCCCTTGTGAYGGAGAAGTGGGTCCTCTCCATAGCTGTGGAGCACAGATCGAGATCATAGCTTCCTTGCAGGAGAAGCTTGAAGACACCAGGGATAGGGCAGAAGCTCAGTAGAGCCCCTTCATGACTGTGGAGAGGAGGCAGAGCAAAGCTCCTGTACTGTGACATCATATTTCGGACTCCTCCAACCCAAAAACATCCCTGGATTGGGGCATTCCTCCTATCCCCATACCACTTTGGGGTTGGGAAGTCTGGTTGCTGATTCCCAGGATCTTCCACTACCCAAAATGCAGCTGCCAGGAGGTGCAAGGACCTTCCTGGACGTGGGAGGCTCAGCAGGCACAGGGGATCATCTGGTGAAGCAATGAGRCTTTTCTCAACCCAGGATGACACTGACATCACTAGGATGAGGAAGATGATGGCTCATTAGGAATTTTGATGGGATATGAAGGTTGTGAGATAAGACATTAAGACTGAGGTCACCCGAGTGCCACCAGTAATCAGCAGCAGAGAGGAACCGGCACCGCTGGAGGTGAGGCACCATACATAAGAGCAGATGAAGTGTCCATCTAGCTATGAAGGCCCGGCTGCATAACAACCCCATTACTGGACAACCGGATCTAATTAGGTGTAATTAGGAAAGATGAGGGACACGCTCAGAGCACTGATGCCTCTCAAGGCCTGGCTGAAGGAGAAGGCCTCACCTCCAATAAACAAGGCAATTAGGAGGCTTGAGAGATGGCAGGATTTTGTAAAGACGTGGCTGAGGGCAYGGACCACTGCACTTGTGCTGAACGAAGATATGAGAATCATATAATGGAATCCTGGAATGGTTTGGGCTGRAAGGGACCTTAAAGCTCATCCAATTCCAACMTGTCATGAGCAGGGGAAGGGGTGCCTTCCACTAGCTCAGACTGCTCCAAGCCCCATCCAACCTGRCCTGGAACACTTCCAGGGATGATGAGCTGAGAYCACTAGAATTATCCATAGTGCGGACGCTCCTGCTTTGCCAGTGGCTCATCCAGGAGCTCCTGGCATGCCGCAATCCCTGGCCCTGCCCATGCCACCGTGCCAGTGAAACCAGTCCCTTGGAGGCCCTGGGAGGAATGTGCACTGCCAGCACATTGCACAATGCCCGTAATCCCAGGWGTGCCGGGCTGGCCCGAAGCACCCCAGGATGTCACCCTTGCTGGAAGTCACACAGATCCCCGGGGTGCAGAGTGTGAAACGCTTCCACCTTGTGTCAGCCAACAGGGCCTTTGCCTGGTTTCAGGGCACCRGAGATGGGATAAACAGCACAGTCCCTCCACTATCCCTCGATCTGCAGGGATCCAGCACGCATAGATGCACCAGCCTGGGAGCACACCAGGAASGGGGAAGCAGGACCCCAAGGAAGGRACACCCCCATGCCCAGACYCTCACAAGGATRCAACACTCAGACAAGGGTGTATGAAGGACCCCAGAGACGTGACACCAGTGACCCCCAGATCCCAGCCCCTCTCACCTTGCCCATGTCCAATTCAGTGGCCTCCAGGATCTCCTCCTTCTTGTCATCCAGGAAGCGTCCCAGAGCCTCCAGCTGGGCCACGCGATATTCCATGGGTCGTGTCTTCCCAGAGAGCCAGGATGCCCGCAGGTGGCTCACCAGCCCCGCATAGGGGTTCCCACTGTGGGGACAGGGGCGTCAGAGGGGATCCAGCTCCATTCCACATCCTTAGAGCTAGCTCCATGTCACCCCACATTCACATTGTTCCATTCCGGCATCAAACTGGAGCCCCAGGTTCCCTGGGGCAGGGCAGGGAGTCCACACACACCCACCTCCCTCCCTCGTTGCTGGGAGCAGCCCAACACAGCACCATTCCCAGCAGATCCTGTCTTCTCCCTTGGGCTGTGCTGGGGAGTGGCAGTACACAGACCTCAAACATTTCACCACCTGGAGTCCCCATCACCCTGGCACTACCACAGTTTCCCCTGCCCACCTCCCTCCCTCCTGCTCCAGCCCCTTAGCTCACCACGCAGAGCTGCAGACCATAGGCATGGGCCCCTTCTGAGTCCCGCTGCCTCCACWGCACCCAGCAGCTTTCCCAGGATCTTTGCCAGGATCACTGCCCATGGTGCTGCACACGCCATACCCCGAGGGCTGCTGCCTGGGGGGCTCAAGGTGCTGCTGCATRCCAAGCTGTTGGAAGGAGCTGCTGGTTTCCATGAAGAGTGTGATGGCCCTGGGGAGAGATACTGTGTGGGTTATGTCAGGATGGTAACGCTGGAGCTGAAGATGCTGGCTCAATCCCAAGAGGAGTCACCTGCAGCACCTTTGAAGGGCGGCTTGGTGCTTGGGGCCGTCCTGSTTGTGGGGTGACTCAGCCCAGGGCAGCTGCCAGAGGCCCTGGGAGATGCCTGGGATTCCCGGGATAACTGCCATCCTCCAGACACTRACCTGCCCAGGCTGGCCTTATGATGTGGGGTCACCTATGGGGACTTCAGGGRCAAGACATCCCCAAATCTGCAGGGGAGAGCTGCAGCCCCCCCATCTGTCACCCTCTCCCTCTCCATGCCCACCCACCCTTCCTTGARGGAACCCTCCAGTGTCCCACAGCCCTCACTAAGGTGGGGGGTGCCAGAGGGGTGCCATGCAGGGAGTGCCAATGATGGGGATCCCGCAGTGCCTACCTGGAGGGTCGTCACAAAGCTGCAGGAGCGCGAGGCCAGGCAGGCACTGCCAAAGCTCAGGGTGGTGGTCCCTAAATGCTGTGAGGCTGGGCCCCATGGCCAGGGGCGGGCAGGATTGGGCCCCGCCTCTGTGGGGCTGGCAGTGGGGACAAGGTCTGGAATGGAATGGGATGGAATGGGATGGAATGGGATGGAATGGGACCTCCCCCATGGGATGGTGGCACTCAGGAATTCCCACAGCCACCAACCAAATCACTACCATGAACCTTGACCCATTTGGACCCCACAGACACCCCTCATCCTGGTC